GAAAATTCTGACCCATTTCTTAGGCAAGAAAATGCAGCTCATAAGTCAAATATTGTCATATACTAAAGACCTCTCAAAGACATTGTCCCCTCTCTGTCACTCCGTAAAAGTCTGATACTTGATCCTTCTTTCTCTATCACTGAAACATATCTGACCTGGAAAGCAGCTTGAAGGCACTTGCACTGATTCTGAACTTGGTGGACTCGCTCTTGTTGCAGTTTTCATATTGATTAAAGCAGTCATTGTGTTTAAACTGTTAAGCTTTATCCTGAAGGAAAATACTTATGACTTGAATAACATTTGAAAACCTAATATTTTGCCCTTGGAAAATAAATATTCTAGTTAAACAGACATGGATGTCCAAAATTTTCCAAAAATTACTGAGTTCTAGGTGGTCTTGTAGCGCTAACCTATGTTGGCAGTTACAGTAACTATTTTCCATTTGTGTAACACTTGTTACCACTTTAGTAGAATGCAATGAACTGCAAACTGACGTTTTCCTTTCAGTAAATAAGTACATAACTGCACAATTTTTCCACAAAGGCTGTCTCTCCAACTGTTTTGGATGACAGCAGATGATTTACAATAGATGGACTAGGTTGTTACAGATTATTATTATTATTTTGAGTTCATCTTAATGGATCATATCTAAAGGGTTTATGTGATTATGAACACAATGTTTTCCCAATTAAGCTCAATGAGTTTCCATTGGGTATGGAGCAAATTCTCCTGCCACAGAACTGCACCTGACACAGGCTACACCAGCACTTGTATAAACAGCTTTTTCACAGAATCACGGAGTCAAAGATTGTTTGAGGTTAGAAGGAAACTCCAGATGTGATCTGGTCCAACCTCCCTGCTCAAGCAGGGCCACCTGCAACAGGTTGCTCAGGACCATGTCCAGGCTAGCTTTTGAAGATCTCTAAAATGAGAAACTCCACAGCCTCTCTGGGTAATCAGTATTCCATCACCCACACAGCACAGAAGTGTTTCCTGGTGTTCAGGCAGAGCCGCCTGTGCTCCAGTTTGTGCCCAGTGCCTCTTGTCCTGGCACTGGGCACCACTGAAAAGAGCCTGGGTCTGTCTCCTTTGTGCCATCCCTCAGGTATTAACGGACAGTGAACAGATCACCCCCAAGTCTTCCTTCTCTGGGCTGAACAGCCCCAGCTCTCTCCTCATGAGAAAGGTAATCCAATCCCTCAGTCATCTTCTTAGCCCTCTATTGGACTTTCTTTTGTATGCTCATGTCTCCCGTGTACTGGAGGGTCCCAGAACTGGACACAGAACTCCAGGTGCAACCTCACAAATATTGAGTACAGCAGAAGGATCTCTCTAGACCTGCTGGTGATACTTTGCCTAGTGCAGCCAAGAATACCATTAGCCCTCATAGAGGCAAAGGCACACTGCTGTTCAACTTGGTGTCTATCAGGATTCTTAGGTACTTTGCAGAGCTGCTTTCCAGCTGGGTGCCCCCCAGGAGGTACTGGTGCCTGGAGTTGTTCCTCCCCAGGTGCAGGACTTTGCACTTCTCCTTGTTGAACCTTTTTTACCAAGCAAAGCCATAAACTTTTTTTTTTTCTTCTTAACCCCCACAAAATATACAATACAGAGCATTTAAACAGCAAACAGGCAATTAACAATAGGCTCTTACTGCCTAGAAGTCCATATTGTTTGGTGTTAACAGTAAATGAAATTGAGAGATGACACAGCCTACCAGTTTTGTTTAATCCTGCTTCAAACAGTTAAGAAAACTATAGAAAGTAAAGTTATGATAGGTGTGGATTTCACGAACAAAAAAGATTTTTAGTAACTTGATACTCAGTTAAAATCTTTGGCTGAAACAATTGACAGATCTTTTTTCTGACCTTGAAGTGATCAATGAATCGTGCACACAGTGTATATGACCCTGAGGTTAAATTTTCGTTAAACTAAATTGTTAATCTGACATACTAAATAAAGATAAACCTTTTCATCTTGTACTGGAATTAAAAAGACAATTAGCTACCTCTGGAGAGAGATTTACATTTCTTAAAAGACAATATTATCTTTAGACAGAAGATACTGATGTTGGTCCACATCACACCTGCTTTTGCTGGCATTTATCTTTAGTGTCAGTGAAGTTAGCAGATCACTGAACAGTATTTAATAAGGTTTAGAATAATGATGAGCTAATATGTCTGTTTTACACAGGAATAATATTCAATTTAAATTAGATTTTGATTTCAGCAGAAGAGTAATGAAAGTTTAAAAAATTATGCATGCATGATGAAGTATCTATTAAGATCCTACACTTACTAACCTTTATTAGAATACAGTCATTCATTCAGAAGACGTTATGAAAAATCAGTACCACCAGTTTTAATGTAGAGGGTTTAAAAATATATTTTTTAAAAAGACACAGCAAAAAAAGTTGCCTATTCTTTCAATACAAGTACAGAACAGTACATATTCCATTACTAAAATACTGGTTAAAACCAGTTATGAAATAAGCATCAGAATTAGAGATTCATATGGTGATCACTTTTAAAAGTTGTAACTGTATGCAGCCTATATGTGAAATATTGTAAACACTGTATAAATGCATAGAAGAGAACAAAGCCTGTGTCAAAAGGTTTAGAGTTTAATGACCTGGAACTTCTTCCTATTGAATAGTTGCAACATGAATGAAAAAATGCTTACAACAATATCCATTATATGTACTTTAGCAATGACAGGGTAATCATTAGAACAGTAGGAAACAGAATACGAAAGATAAGAAAGGTAAACATCACCAAAGCAGATATTTTCAATGGCAAATATAATACTGATATTTAACAAAACAACAGAAGAAGAACAAAATCAGAGAGCTACTTTAGCATGCATTTTATTCTCTTCTATATGTTACTATAAGTATGGTATGACTCAAGAAATGTTGAGATGGAGAAGGTTCACTGCTCTTCCCCATGTCCTATGTAGTTCTTTACCTAGACCATAGATAATCAACAGATTACAGTAAATTGTTAGATTAATAACACACCATCCTTTGGAGATGGTTGATGGCATTTATGCTGTGTGATCATTATTTTATTTTATTTTATTTTATTTTATTTTATTTTATTTTATTTTATTTTATTTTATTTTATTTTATTTTATTTTAATTATTTTTTGTGTGTGTGTGGAGCAATTACTAATTAGTATGGATACTGTTGCTGCTCCCTATAGGCCTAATCTGTTTGGGGAGAAGCAGAACTGTCAGACTGGAAAGAGCAAATGGGCCACAAAGCCAGCTGTGCTGGAAGGCATGCTGTTAACTAAGTGCTTCAGAGGAAGACTCTTGAGCTTTAAGGTTGACTCTTGCATTAATTTCCAAATTGGTTAAGGGTGTACACAGCCTTTCTAACCCTTTGTTTCCTTGGGTGAAAGTGACACTGATCTTAGGTGTAATAGTTATATCTACCAATGATTGTTCTAAGGATTATGTTTGTATTAAGTGAGAGACGTATTACATAAATTACAACAGTTGTATTAAATCGTTGTGACTTGGAGCAGGAAAGAAAGGTGATCCTACAAGCCTTGACTATAGTTCAATGCAGCATAATGCAAAAGTGTAGTGACAAAAAAAAACCTGCTGTAGAACCAAAAGTAGCATGGCTGTGCAATTGTGGTGCTGTGCAACATATGGAAAAGTATGCCTTGGGAATTTGGAAATATCATGCATTTAACACGACTTTGCTGCTTTGATGCTACAAAGTCATGGAGTCTGGTATGTTCTGTGTACTGTGCATGTATGTATTATTATGTATTATATATGTGCACTATGTTCCATGTTCTGCATAAAAAAAAAATCACTTGAATTAGTAAATTTAAATGGACCTACATCATCCCATGCTTTTTCACTCAATGTTCCCCACAAGTGCCTTGTAAGTGAAAATGTCCCAAACAGAAAACCTGAAGCTGCCGATTGCAGAGTGCAAATAGATGGCAATGTATGTGTCAAGTGGGCATGTAACACTTTATCTTTCTCTTTGTATGGTAGAAAGCTGAACATAATGACACAGCATTTGAAGTCTATGGGATTTTGTCATTTTGTTGTTTTGTTTTATTTTGTTCTTAAGAGAAAAGGAGAATGGAAAATGAAAGATCTATGAATAGACCTTCTAGGAAGGATAATGCTAGACTTGGAATAAAGACCTGCTTTCCAGAATTAAAGTGATAAATCTTGAAAGAAAAATGACTAAGAATCTTCAATAGTTACATATGGGTTTTTAGCAACCAAAATTCTGCTTCAGAGTACAAAGGAAACATGGGAAATAGACAACAGTACAGCTTTCGTATACATAAAATAATACTCCTTAAGTAAGCATAGATGGGAAATGTATTAAGAATAAGAATCACGTACTCAGAAAGAATCAAGTGCTCAGGCATTACAAGATATGACATAGAAACATATGCTCCATTCCTACAGACCAGTTATAAACAGAAAGCAAATGCAGAGTGTCATTTTCAATTCACATAAATATTCTTCAAACTGGAGATTTCAACATAAGCTGCAATTCTATTATTATGTGTACTTAGCACCCTTTTCTCTCTTTTTTTTTTTTTCCTATTATTTTAATGCAAAGATTTCACGATTTGATAATACTATTATTACCAACACCAGAGTTGCAATTAAGTCACACAGTACATATATACCTGAGACTTTTATATTATACTGTGGAATATTTACCTTTAAACAACATACAGAGCTATAGGGTTTACTAAATAAAAAATGAATTTTAGATCAGTTGGGATGATAAATTATTTTTCTTTGTTGGGTCTGGGTCTGCATTCATAAGGTTAAACATGATTTCTAGTCTCTGTGTTCCAGGATGACGATTCTCATTCTATGTTATTCCAGTACCTTATGTGGAAAAGGATAAGTATCTTTTGAAATCAATGTAGCACAGTAAATCACTGTCAAAAATTTTCAAGGTATTTGATCACTGATTATATTTTATCACGTCTCTGTTCTTTATTTTCAGACTCAATCAATGCAGTGGACATACGAAATCAATGGCCTGCCTCCACAGACCACACCACCTACAAGGCCAGCAAAAGTAGTTTCTACTAGCAGTTACATAAGATCAGCAACAGTTCGACAGCGCAATTTCTTACGTGAAAATCTAAAGCTTACAACCACTGGGGTATCCTCACCAATCAAGGGGGCACCTTTAGTCCTGAGGACAAAATAGAGAAAAGAGAATGCTGTGTTGTGGATTTTTATTTGTTTGTTTTGGGGAGCGTGGGGGGACCACATGAGGTGGATATCTTTGTCAAATAAACTCTGCAAATGCAAAGATGTGTTTTTAATATATTTTTAAAGCAGATATGATATGCATTGGTGGTATGCTTTATGTGGAGGATCCAGAGTGCTTCAACTCTAATAATGTTTTTTTTTTCTATGACAGATTTTAGTTGTGTACCTAGTGGTTCATGTATTTCATACAGATATCAACAAATTTTAGTAAGGAAAAAGGATCAAGTTGAAAAAGTATACATGGAAATTTGGGAATTTGATTTAATGCTTTGCTTTAGAAGGAATGTTAGTTTGGTAAGGCTTTAATAGGAAGTCATAAAGAAAGTCCTATATGTTGTTCAGTATATTACTTGCATGCAAACCAAGCAGGCAAACTAATCCTTGATGTCTTTCATGATCAAGTGCTTACCAAAATTTTGCAATACTTTGCTAAAGTGTAGGTTTACATATCACATGTCCAGAACTTAGATGTCTTTAGATTCACTTGCTTTACAAAATGTCATTAGTTTTGACATTTCTGCTTTGTCTAAAATAATTTTGTCCTGAGTTATTCATCACATAACACTTCAAATTCTTAGGATATTACACATAATATAGAATAAAAATAAAATGTCCTCCCTCCGTATTGATGTGCTGAGTAAATTTTAGAGTGCTTTAGAGTACTGGAGTATTGAAATATAGAAGGCTATGAAAGCCAGTGAGGACTGCAGCAAAATTTTACTTTTTTCTTTTTTTCTAATATAAACAAACCAGAGATGCCATTCATGTTGTGCTTCCATTTCCATTCTTCTCATTAACAGTTGATATTATATGAGTGTTCAGGCTTTCATTGCTATTGATATCATTAGAAAGTTAGATCTCTGCAGTCATGCTTTGCAAGTTCACTGGATGGATAACTCCCACTTTTTTTTTTTTTTTTAAATCTTTGAGATTGTTTTTGCTGACTTTACTAACAGAATATGAATTGTATTTGTGCCTTTATTTTAGTGGCAGAATATCCTTTAACAAAAAGATAGCTTGGCACAGAGTAAGTGCTTTCTTGGCACAAATACAGAATGAGCCTCATTGCTCAGGAATGGGGAGCCTGAGAACAACCTATGTAGGTCAGTGTAAATGAGCACCAATAAAACCATTTTACCACTATGTGCTTGAGGATTTTGTTTATGCCACACATTTTAGAGAAGCTATTACAGAAAATGCTGGGAACATATAAAACAGTGATGGCACTGTTTAGTCTCTGCTTTTTAATGCAGTGTGCCCTGCTTTGATCAGAAAACAGATAATCTGAACCAAGAATAAAATTTCCCTTACAAATTCAGTACACAACACATGAAAGATACTGTCTGTATTGATGTTTGTTGTATTTATAGAAAACATTAAGAAGCTCTTGTAACATTTATCTTATATGTGACTGGGAACACAAATACATCTAGATTTCATAGGAGAGCTCTATCTACGTGTGTAATTGAATCAATTGCTTCTATTGACTGTAAGAAATGAGAATTTATGGATCAGAAATGTGCAGTGGATTCACAACTGATTATTGGTCACAGTGTTCAAGAATAATTTCAGTGACAACTTTTCTTTGTTAAAGCTTTGTTTTCCTGTTTTTGCTTTCTAAAAGGTTTTCTTTCTCATTTGAAATCACAGCTTTTTGTGAGAAGTCTAATAATTCTATCAGAGATAAAAGGTGGCATATAGATCAATCACTCAATTAAGTGTTGCTCTCTTCAAAAATGTTATTTCACAGTTAACTTACCTGCATTTCCTGTTACATCCAATAGATTTTCAAATCCTCTCATACATTCAGAAGTTAAAAAATCCATAGACAAATATTTATGCAGTAACATCTGAAGTACATCATAAAAGGTGAAGTTTAGAAATATTGTCTATCTCAGAAGGGAAGCATCAGCTGTGATTTCTGAACCAGATTACACTTTTCCAGTGTATACAAGCTCATTTATGAGTTCTGCAAAATATGCTATAATCATTTGAATCTTTACCTTTTTTTTTTTTTTTTTTTTTTTTTTTTTTATAATAATTGCATTACCTTTTCTTATTTTTAAAGAGTTTAAACTGAACTAAAAATGTTTTTTCCAATATCAAGGATGTACTTGCAAAGGTGATTTAAATAAGGACCATAGTATCTGTGTGCTTGTCACATCCACGATGTTTTACATACTATCCACATACTTTTATATATTCCACTGACTATATACACTCTATTAAAAATAAATTCTTTTACTTCATGACTTCACCCTTTGCACTTCTACCGGTGATGTGACTGTATTCTTTATACTGCAAAAGCTAATTCTAAGTTTGCATATCTTTTAAAAAGTACTTTCTAAGAGCAGCACTGGAAGATTTCCAGAATGATCAGTTTTATTAGTTTCTTGCTCCCTCTATTTTTTGTTTTATATTTTAATTTATTTTACTAGAATTACTAGGCCATAATTATAAACAGTAGAGTTTGAAGTCATTGAAAGAAAGAATTGGTATGAGAAAGAATTATCAAATGATGCTTTTGTTATTTAAACTTGGAGACTTAACCCCAAAGCTTTTGGACTTTCAGAACTTAAGAACAGCAGGGCAAGATGCTTACCATCACCCCACACCTTAAAAATGTGATCTGCAGAACATCTTAAGTACTGAAGATCAGTCTAAGCATAATTGTTGCAGTTAGGGTTCAGATGATAAATCAATCAGTAAATAAAGCAGTACAGATGATTTAGCTTATAAGTAATTCTAAATTACAATTTATTATAATAAACTTCTTACAAGGAAATGGAAGAAAATAAACACAGCCTCAAGGTTACAGTTTGCAAAGAAGCACTCACAACGTTTTCTATGTCCTTATCCTACATTACCAGAAGTACACTACCACTACCAGAAATTGGAATAGAAAAAAATTACCTTTGTTTCTCTACATTAGAGCACCCTTAAAGATCCTTTTCTCCTGAAAAGAATAACAAATTAGTATTTGCCTTCACATCAATCTATTTGCAGGTACAGCAGAGTCTCAGGAAAACAGGGCATGCTGATTAACATTGGAAATAAAAGCTCTTCATTTCTAATAGTTAATTTTGACTAGAGATCTAAAAGTACTTGTACTGACTCATGTATTTTCATATATATAAATATCAAATTCACAAAATAAAACAAGTTTTCCCCAGTCAATATGACACTTCAGGCCTATGTCTTAATCACAGAGTTATGTGACAAGCATGAGTCAGCTGTGCATCTGCTTGTTAATGACTTAGAAGAAATACCGGTTGGCTAATCAGTGTAGTCACCACCTGTTTCTTTATATTTCTCCCCCACTTGTCTCTTTATGGCTATAATGATTCATCTTTCTGAATAATTAAAAAAAAAAAAAAAAAAAAAAAAAAAGATGCCAAGATCACTGTGTACAGTAGAACTTGTTATTCTGGAATGAGATCTTATATTTAAATTTCTTACTAAAATACTGTGCAGCCTTTGATATTGTTCCTAACTATTGAGTTGGTTTTCTGTTTTTCTGGGACATGCGGGGACAATCTGCACTGGTGGGTTGCAGGACCAGCAATCAAGCTTCAAATTGTCTGATGTTTGGCTGAACTTTATTTGGCAGAAGACCATGTAGAAGAATGACTGAAGGAGAACATGGAAGTGTTTTTGGGATGCCTGCCACTAGCAGCTCTGCTTGGTTTAGGTTTTGCTGCTTTATAACTCATAAGATTTTGATTGCTGCTTCTACCCATGTCTGACTAGCCATGGTATCAATGATACTCTAAGACTTTTTTTATAACTGATATCACTGGTTATAAGGGTTTTAGTTTATCAAACCTGTACTTCAAGAATAATAAGAGCTGAACATTATCTCCTGTGTCAGTGCAGGTTTTGTCTGAGTCAGGAGAATTGAGAGAGCAAGTCTGCTTTAAGCACAGAAAGTTATTATGATCAGGTAAAGAGCCCACTGGGGTATGGGCCCATATACATTTCTACTGCTAGCTACAAGGTGGGACCAAATCCAGGGTAGCAGAGGACTTAATGCTGAACCAACAATGTTCCTACTTGAACAAAATAACACAGAGGCAGCCAAAAGAGCATGTACTTTTTTTTTTTTTCTTCTTTTTTTTTTTTTTTCCTCTTTGATCTCCCACACAGGCTATGTAAAGAAATATAAACTTCTAACTCCTTCCATCCCACAGATAGCTAACAGCAGAAAAAGATAAACATCTGTATTAATATTCTCTGGAGGAAGGCTGAGTACTTAGAGTAAGAAAGAAAATCCCTAGCTTTGCCTTATTGTTTATTTGCTTGTGAGATGTTTAATAATTTCATTTCTCCCTGCAGTGACTGCTCATTCCAAAATAAATGACTGAACATCGCCTTACTGCTGACACAGATCATGGTTTGTTGCTGATGGAATGTTAACTGCTTTTTAAGTAACTCTGAATAAACCTGCTGATCCATAGAAGATTCATCTAAAAAGGAATACAATTCATCTACTGGCTCTTCTGCTTCCACTGACATGAAACACCTTCTTCCACATTTTACTTTATTGCAACTGTTGTGATCCTGATAATGTTACATTTCCTGTGGTAGGATACATAACATTTTGAGACAATGGCACGGTGACAATGTGGTGAGGTCACAGCAGGGCGTGGTATGTCAAGGTCACAGTATGGAAGTCCATCTGAAAAGCATTGATTGGAGACTAGACAAATAAAGGGAGAGACATGAGGCAAGGAGAATCTTTGATTATTTTTCCTTTAGTGTAAGATTTAACTCTTCTCTGCAAACTATTTTTTTTTTGTTTGTTAAAGAAAAGAAAGAAAGAAAAAGTATTTTTAGCAAGAAAGACAGTTTTCCAGAACAGGAAAACCTGATACATTACTGCTCATCCCATACATCATATGAGCAAATGCTACCAGGTCACACTGGCACAAATCTACGTGACAGCAGGAAATCACATGTACAGCAAAGGAAGAAGCAACAAAGTAAACAAAGCAAAATCCTTCCACTTATTAAATGAGCAGTGTTAATATCCATCAGGTGAA